CTCTCATACACTTCCACGTGGCAGGGCACCACCAATGGGAGCACGAGAACGTGCACATTGGAGGCCTTGAGATGGGGGTGCACTATGATTGGCCAGAGGAGCGTGAGGGCAGAGGGAGGTGGGGGGGAGAGGAGGGAGTGGAGGGGGAGGAGGATGAGAGAGGGGAAGCTGGCCGATCTGATATTTTCTCAGGATTTTCTTCAGGTGATTTTCCAGGTGTTTCTTCAGGTGTGCCTTTTGTGATTCGCGATTCTGCTGGACCTGCTTCTGATGTTTCTGCTGCTGCAGATTTTCCTGTCTCGGTTGCACCACTGCCTTTGTATGTTTCTACTGCATGTGCTCCTGGTGCTGCTCCTCCTGCATTCTGTGCTCTTGTCTTCCCTGCTGCTGCTCGACTGCGAGATTGAGTGTGGGTGCTTGAGTGTGAGGCGGGGAGGGTGGGAGTGGTGCTGACGAGGCGCAGCCCGATCACATGGCATGTGATCGTATCATCCAACCACTCGTCCGTGCCGATGACAGATGTTGCGCTGCGAATGGCTGGAGAGGCTGATGGAAAGGGGAGGAGGGAGAGAGGGGAAAGTAGAAGATGAAAACGAAGTGTGGGGAAAGGAAGACGAGTGGGGTGAGAGGATAATACAGAAAGAAGCGCATTGGCGATGACACAGGGGAAAGCTGGCTCTGCAACCCCTCGCCCATGCCGATGAGAGGAGTGCTGGTGAGGAGGAGAGGGATGAGAGATAGGAGGGAAGTGGGCAGAGAGGGGGAAAAGGACAAACAGGGAGGTTGGTGGAGTGGAGATGGGGGCAGGCAGAGAGAGGGACGGGTAAAGCAAGAGGAGAATAAATTGGTGACGAAAGGGAAAGAAGCACAGAAGAGTGAGTGGGTAAGTTAGTGAATACATTGAATGAGATGATTAGCTGCCTGCATCTGAGTCAGCCAGACACAGTAACAAGCCAACGGGATGCAGAGGAAACGTTAAGGTAGCTTCACGGAAAGTGTCACCCACGTTAGTAGACATGCTTGCCGACCTGCTCTGTAAAAGTAGGTAAGGGAGGGTCAGCAGCACAGGGGGCATGGGGGCACTATAAGACTAGGGAAGATGGGGGAACCGAAGGTGGGGTGTATGAGGCAGGAGGGGAGGGGAAATGGCAATAATCCCATATCCAGGATGGCATGTAACATAGTTTGGATTTATCCCCAAAACATTTGAATCCAGAAAAGCTGAAATAAGTTTTGCATACGAACCAGCTCGCCAAAACAGTATTCGACCAAACCTGCAAGCCAACAGAACCAGAGAAAAAATAATTTGCTGTTCATTGCTCATTTTCTCTATACGGTACACAAGTTTTGTCATTGCTCAAATTCTCTATGCGGTACACTTGTATTCTTCGAAGATCCTAGGAATTGTTACATGGGAAAACACAAAGTGGATTGTCACCTAATAAAAACTACCATGACTACATTAAATCCATCCCTTCAAAGGCAATACCATCCAAGGTCCCATTCCCCACTATCTCATACACCACCCCACTCGTCGTCTTATCCCCCGACTGGTGAAAAATACACGGGTACGCCTTCGTCACCTTGGAATACACCTTGATCTCCACTCCAGTCCCTTGCACCTCATATTGTTCCGACCTCCGCCCTCCCAGCAGCTCTATCAGAGCGTTGTAGTGGTCCAGCTTGATAAACGGTGGAGGCGCTGCCTTTCTGGCTCCCTCTAGTCCTGCTGGGGTGACGTTTTGAGGAATCAGGGCCTGCACCGGACCAGGAAGAGAGCAGAAATACCGTAGCGTGCCGGGCAGAGGAGTAGCAGATGAGGATAAAGACGGATCAGAGTCTTTGGTGGCTGGTTTGGTTGCTCCGTGGCTGTCTGTTACTGGGTCAGGGTACGGCATGCGTGGGAGGGAGTTGAACAGGAACGGCTGGGCCAAATACGCCGCCACAAATTGCCGCTGATCCTCCATACAGTCACTCGTGTATGTTGCATCCATCATTTCGCCGAGAGCCCATGCATACCCAACATAGGACCCTGCGTTGACGTGTCGGTTTGGAAAAGGAGATCTCAGCTTCTGAGGGTAGAAGGGGATGACATCACCTGTTGGATATGCGAACATCTCAGCTCCGAAAACGATAGGAGCGTTAAGAGACAGAAACGCTTTGATTAGCGAATCTGGTCCGCATAGTTCTCTGTTTGGCAGCAGCAGGACGTCATCAGCATCTGTTACAATCACAATTCGGTCTTTTGGCAGTGTCCTTAGGTACTCTCGATAGTATCTCACCCGACCGCCTAGGCCCTGCCAGGTCTCATTCAAACCAAGCACCGCGAGCTGAATCCCGTTCATCTCACAGAACTTAGCTAAGCGTTGAACGCCTTTCCCACACCGGGTGGAGAAAGTGATCCATTCGATGCTGCAGTTGGACTAGGTGAAAGCTGACGTTGGCTTTAAGTCGCGAGGGTCTACTGTGGCGTCATATGTGACTCGGCAGCCATCCCTTCCCCCAGCGTCTGCCACTCTCTCATTGCTGCTGCTCGTAGCGCCACTGTGACGCCCCCAGCCTGGATCTGAGACAATTCTGGATGATCCTGGATCGGCAGCTGCCACTTTCCTCCCCCTCATACTGCCTTTTTTGGAGCTCTTGATGTAGCTGCTGCTGCTGCTGCTGCTGCTGCCGCTGTCATAACCACCCTGCTGCTGCTGCTGCTGCTGCTGCTGCTGCTGCTGCTGCTGCTGCTGCATGATGCGTTGGTAACGAGTTCTGTTTCCGTTTTCAAAGCCTGCTTTGCCGCGAACGGCAGCAGCGTTCACCACATCGGAGCATGCAATACCGCGGAAAAAAGAAGTGCCTGTGTGAATGCCACGATACGCAACACCCACGCCGACACAGGAGTCTAAGTAATCGCGAACCGCCAGCACATCTGGGCTCACACGGGAGGAGAAATGATACAGCCAGAGCATCAGCAGCGCTAACGAGGCGACGGTGGCGACAGTTACCACTGAGGCTCCCTTCGCTACACAACAGAACAGAGACAGAAACCGCGAGCGGGAGGGTAGACTGAGCCTGGCAGACATTGCGGCCATTGTAGTACGGAGTGTCTAGTAGTAGTTGTACTACCGTAATGCCAAGCAAAGAGAATGGAACCTAGTAGGTTAGTACGAACTCCCTGGCTTGATCATCACAAAAAACCGGGGTTGGTTTTTGGGGTTCCGACCTTGTGTTTTGACGATTTTTGCCTGTCTTGGATTTCGTACTGTTTCCCTACAGGAAACTTTCGGATTTCTGTCGGAAACGGGGCACCGAGATGCTCGCTTCGCCCAAACGATCTTGTTTCGGCGTATTTTCAAAACCGTCCCCGTCGCGTCGGATTTTCGACAGATTTCAGCTGGAAGTGTGGCTGGAGGCTGCGAGAGAAGGAATACCTCCTATTAACATATCTCCTTTTCTGTCACGTACAGTGTTTGAGTCAGTAATGTTAGTTTCGTAAAATAACTTATCGAAGAAAGCACAAACGAATAATGATTTTATCCATCTCCATGCTGATGTTAAATATATAACTCATTACTGGTACCTTCAGCAACATGGCTAGAGTTTGTTGGAATGTAAGCCGATATTCAATAACCGCACTACATTAGATTAAACACATACATAACTACATAAAATATTTATTCATAAAGTACACGTCGACCTCAGCCGCATCAAAGGACTTCACTACATGGACATGACCTAGAATAGAAGTGATAGGGATAATAGTGAATGCGTCGGGGATGAAGGAAGATAGGCGCACGCAACCCGTCTTTGCGTGCACACCGTCTGTCCCATAGAACGTCACGTACGCAAGATCATGACGCTCTCCTCCCTGATAGCAATGGAACAATAGCAGCAACTTTGCATAGGCCACACTCCCCCCCTCACACCAAACAGCAATATCTGAGAACCAGGGCCTTTTGTGACACTCAGGGGTTGCTCTCACGAAATGTGCCACCCGCGATGCGTGCGTTTCATTTGTTGCCGGCATCGCCATTGTTGTATGGGTCTGCCAAGACGGTGAATGAAATCAAGTTAATATGCATACATGTTCTCTTAGTTGATTGTAACAAATATAGCCACAATTTAAATATCCTTGAAATTCATACCTGAATGGTTTGCACGGTAATGCCATATGCCGCCAAAGCATCTGACAGCGCTCTGTGTGCACTCGGGTGCTGTTGCGACCACCGAGACGCAAAGAACTTAGCAGAGGTGGGGTCACTTGCCGGCAAAACAGCAAGTGGCTCGGATTCCCTCGTTAAGACTGGTCGTCCAGTGTCCATCGCCTACGGGTGGGGTTAGAACGGAAAAGAGACTCACATAACAATTGCAAATGAAAGTATCTAATTTTAGCGCTCCAAAAGAGTTTAGTTACCTGCTGCATGATGGTGTAGCGAGCCCCGTCCTCGTCCTCCAGTGTGATAAAAGCAGCACTCTTCTCGTGGTGTTTCATGATTTGCGCTTCGACGTTGCGCTTGTTTGAGCGGCGGTAAATTCTCTTCAAGAGGGGGCCGTGCAAGTGCTCCCACATGTTTGTCGAGAATTCCGACACATGACCCGCCCTCCGGATAGCGGGAACGTAATGCGACAGAAGATGAGTCTTGATGATGCACCACTCTGATTTTTGGGTGGGAAACGCCTCTTGCAACTTCGCCACGAGACTGTCCAAGGCCAGGGACGGGGTTTATGACGGGACCGTAAGGGGGATAATGGGCTGGATTAGAGATAGTAGCTTGGAAATGAATTCGTCAGAGGGTTGCCCCATGCATACGTCCCCCACTTCCTCTCTTTGCTCTGCGTCTACCCACCAGCGACAGGTAACGGACTACGTTGATAGTATGGGTGGGGGGGTGAGGCTTGGGGGGCAGAACAAAGACTCGAGCATACATATGCCCTCTCTCCCTTCTCTGTTCAGCCACTCCTGTCAGTGGCAGGGCACGAAAGGACAGAGAAGGGGCTGGATTGAGGGTATGGGTGAGGGGGTGAGGCGTGGAGAGCAGAACAGAGACCCGAGCATGCCTCTGCCCTCTCTCCCTTCTCTGTTCAGCCACTCCTGTCAGTGGCAGGGCACGAAAGGCCAGAGAAGGGGCTGGATTGAGGGTATGGGTGAGGGGGTGAGGCTTGGGGGGCAGAACAAAGACTCGAGCATACATATGCCCTCTCTCCCTTCTCTGTTCAGCCACTCCTGTCAGTGGCAGGGCACGAAAGGCCAGAGAAGGGGCTGGATTGAGGGTATGGGTGAGGGGGTGAGGCGTGGAGAGCAGAACAGAGACCCGAGCATGCCTCTGCCCTCTCTCCCTTCTCTGTTCAGCCACTCCTGTCAGTGGCAGGGCACGAAAGGCCAGAGAAGGGGCTGGATTGAGGGTATGGGCGAGGGGGTGAGGCGTGGAGAGCAGAACAGAGACCCGAGCATGCCTCTGCCCTCTCTCCCTTCTCTGTTCAGCCACTCCTGTCAGTGGCAGGGCACGAAAGGCCAGAGAAGGGGCTGGATTGAGGGTATGGGTGAGGGGGTGAGGCGTGGAGAGCAGAACAGAGACCCGAGCATGCCTCTGCCCTCTCTCCCTTCTCTGTTCAGCCACTCCTGTCAGTGGCAGGGCACGAAAGGCCAGAGAAGGGGCTGGATTGAGGGTATGGGCGAGGGGGTGAGGCGTGGAGAGCAGAACAGAGACCCGAGCATGCCTCTGCCCTCTCTCCCTTCTCTGTTCAGCCACTCCTGTCAGTGGCAGGGCACGAAAGGCCAGAGAAGGGGCTGGATTGAGGGTATGGGTGAGGGGGTGAGGCGTGGAGAGCAGAACAGAGACCCGAGCATGCCTCTGCCCTCTCTCCCTTCTCTGTTCAGCCACTCCTGTCAGTGGCAGGGCACGAAAGGCCAGAGAAGGGGCTGGATTGAGGGTATGGGTGAGGGGGTGAGGCGTGGAGAGCAGAACAGAGACCCGAGCATGCCTCTGCCCTCTCTCCCTTCTCTGTTCAGCCACCCCTGTCAGTGGCACGGCACGAAAGGCCAGAGAAGGGGCTGGATTGAGGGTATGGGTGGGGGGTGAGGCTTGGGGGGCAGAACAGAGACTCGAGCATACATATGCCCTCTCTCCCTTCTCTGTTCAGCCACTCCTGTCAGTGGCAGGGCACGAAAGGACAGAGAAGGGGCTGGATTGAGGATATGGGTGAGGGGGTGAGGCGTGGAGAGCATACCAGAGACCCGAGCATGCCTCTGCCCTCTCTCCCTTCTCTGTTCAGCCACTCCTGTCAGTGGCAGGGCACGAAAGGACAGAGAAGGGGCTGAATTGAGGGTATGGGCGAGGGGGTGAGGCGTGGAGAGCAGAACAGAGACCCGAGCATGCCTCTGCCCTCTCTCCCTTCTCTGTTCAGCCACTCCTGTCAGTGGCAGGGCACGAAAGGCCAGAGAAGGGGCTGGATTGAGGGTATGGGTGAGGGGGTGAGGCGTGGAGAGCAGAACAGAGACCCGAGCATGCCTCTGCCCTCTCTCCCTTCTCTGTTCAGCCACTCCTGTCAGTGGTAGGGCACGAAAGGACAGAGAAGGGGCTGGATTGAGGGTATGGTTGAGGGGGTGAGGCGTGGAGAGCAGAACAGAGACCCGAGCATGCCTCTGCCCTCTCTCCCTTCTCTGTTCAGCCACTCCTGTCAGTGGCAGGGCACGAAAGGACAGAGAAGGGGCTGGATTGAGGGTATGGGTGAGGGGGTGAGGCGTGGAGAGCAGAACAGAGACCCGAGCATGCCTCTGCCCTCTCTCCCTTCTCTGTTCAGCCACTCCTGTCAGTGGCAGGGCACAAAAGGCCAGAGAAGGGGCTGGATTGAGGGTATGGGTGAGGGGGTGAGGCGTGGAGAGCAGAACAGAGACCCGAGCATGCCTCTGCCCTCTCTCCCTTCTCTGTTCAGCCACCCTTGTCAGTGGCAGGGCACGAAAGGCCAGAGAAGGGGCTGGATTGAGGGTATGGGTGGGGGGGTGAGGCTTGGGGGGCAGAACAAAGACTCCAGCATACATATGCCCTCTCTCCCTTCTCTGTTCAGCCACTCCTGTCAGTGGCAGGGCACGAAAGGACAGAGAAGGGGCTGGATTGAGGGTATGGGTGAGGGGGTGAGGCGTGGAGAGCAGAACAGAGACCCGAGCATGCCTCTGCCCTCTCTCCCTTCTCTGTTCAGCCACTCCTGTCAGTGGCAGGGCACGAAAGGCCAGAGAAGGGGCTGGATTGAGGGTATGGGTGAGGGGGTGAGGCGTGGAGAGCAGAACAGAGACCCGAGCATGCCTCTGCCCTCTCTCCCTTCTCTGTTCAGCCACCCTTGTCAGTGGCAGGGCACGAAAGGCCAGAGAAGGGGCTGGATTGAGGGTATGGGTGGGGGGGTGAGGCTTGGGGGGCAGAACAAAGACTCCAGCATACATATGCCCTCTCTCCCTTCTCTGTTCAGCCACTCCTGTCAGTGGCAGGGCACGAAAGGCCAGAGAAGGGGCTGGATTGAGGGTATGGGTGAGGGGGTGAGGCGTGGAGAGCAGAACAGAGACCCGAGCATGCCTCTGCCCTCTCTCCCTTCTCTGTTCAGCCACTCCTGTCAGTGGCAGGGCACGAAAGGCCAGAGAAGGGGCTGGATTGAGGGTATGGGTGAGGGGGTGAGGCGTGGAGAGCAGAACAGAGACCCGAGCATGCCTCTGCCCTCTCTCCCTTCTCTGTTCAGCCACTCCTGTCAGTGGCAGGGCACGAAAGGACAGAGAAGGGGCTGGATTGAGGGCATGGGTGAGGGGGTGAGGCGTGGAGAGCAGAACAGAGACCCGAGCATGCCTCTGCCCTCTCTCCCTTCTCTGTTCAGCCACTCCTGTCAGTGGCAGGGCACGAAAGGCCAGAGAAGGGGCTGGATTGAGGGTATGGGTGAGGGGGTGAGGCGTGGAGAGCAGAACAGAGACCCGAGCATGCCTCTGCCCTCTCTCCCTTCTCTGTTCAGCCACCCCTGTCAGTGGCACGGCACGAAAGGCCAGAGAAGGGGCTGGATTGAGGGTATGGGTGAGGGGGTGAGGCGTGGAGAGCAGAACAGAGACCCGAGCATGCCTCTGCCCTCTCTCCCTTCTCTGTTCAGCCACCCCTGTCAGTGGCACGGCACGAAAGGCCAGAGAAGGGGCTGGATTGAGGGTATGGGTGGGGGGGTGAGGCTTGGGGGGCAGAACAAAGACTCCAGCATACATATGCCCTCTCTCCCTTCTCTGTTCAGCCACTCCTGTCAGTGGCAGGGCACGAAAGGACAGAGAAGGGGCTGGATTGAGGGTATGGGTGAGGGGGTGAGGCGTGGAGAGCAGAACAGAGACCCGAGCATGCCTCTGCCCTCTCTCCCTTCTCTGTTCAGCCACTCCTGTCAGTGGCAGGGCACGAAAGGACAGAGAAGGGGCTGGATTGAGGGTATGGGTGAGGGGGTGAGGCGTGGAGAGCAGAACAGAGACCCGAGCTTGCCTCTGCCCTCTCTCCCTTCTCTGTTCAGCCACTCCTGTCAGTGGCAGGGCACGAAAGGCCAGAGAAGGGGCTGGATTGAGGGTATGGGTGAGGGGGTGAGGCGTGGAGAGCAGAACAGAGACCCGAGCATGCCTCTGCCCTCTCTCCCTTCTCTGTTCAGCCACTCCTGTCAGTGGCACGGCACGAAAGGCCAGAGAAGGGGCTGGATTGAGGGTATGGGTGAGGGGGTGAGGCGTGGAGAGCAGAACAGAGACCCGAGCATGCCTCTGCCCTCTCTCCCTTCTCTGTTCAGCCACCCCTGTCAGTGGCACGGCACGAAAGGCCAGAGAAGGGGCTGGATTGAGGGTATGGGTGGGGGGTGAGGCTTGGGGGGCAGAACAGAGACTCGAGCATACATATGCCCTCTCTCCCTTCTCTGTTCAGCCACTCCTGTCAGTGGCAGGGCACGAAAGGACAGAGAAGGGGCTGGATTGAGGATATGGGTGAGGGGGTGAGGCGTGGAGAGCATACCAGAGACCCGAGCATGCCTCTGCCCTCTCTCCCTTCTCTGTTCAGCCACTCCTGTCAGTGGCACGGCACGAAAGGCCAGAGAAGGGGCTGGATTGAGGATATGGGTGAGGGGGTGAGGCGTGGAGAGCATACCAGAGACCCGAGCATGCCTCTGCCCTCTCTCCCTTCTCTGTTTAGCCACTCCTGTCAGTGGCAGGGCACGAAAGGCCAGAGAAGGGGCTGGATTGAGGGTATGGGTGAGGGGGTGAGGCGTGGAGAGCTCAACAAGGAGTGTGCATCAACGAAAGCAGACCCTATCTGGCCCCATGCAAAACAGAGGTATGGTATTAAGGTATGAAGATATGCAACAGTGGGAGAAGATGAGGGCTCACTCGTCGGTCAAGTCCTGCAAATGCCGAAGCGTGCCCTCCGTGTGACCCTGGAGCCGGGCGCAGTAAAGATACCACTCAAGGTAAGCTCGAATGGCGCTCAACTGAGCATCCCCGAGCTTGTCCGCGACCACAAAAATCAACACCTGTAAATTAGGGGATTTAAAAAGGTTAATGAAAAATTTGACTTGAGAAGTCGCTATGACGTATTCATGGAGAGAGAGACGAGTAGGGTGGGGGCTGCCTCAGAAAGCGTGGCAGAGGGGATGGGGGGGGGGGGGGGGGGGGGGGAAGTGGTGGGTGTGGGACAGAGGGTAGGGGAGGATTTCGTGATGCACGTGCCAAGCAATGCCTCATTTACGGTTGTTACTTACCTGTAGAACAGATCGGTGCTCGAATGCGGCCACCTGCGCGTCGGACACGAAGTACGTTGAATTGGGGAGCCGCATATGTGTCATGTGAATGTCTTCTCTCAGTGACTTCAAACGCCTGAGAATGATAGACAACATAGGGATGACATACACTCAATTTACGAAGTGAACGATGCTTTGCACAAGAAAGGACATAAGACCAACACAGGCCAGTGGAGTTGGCACTGCCAACCGATACGAATCCGCACATAGCCAACCCAAACTTACGCGTCTAACAAGGAAAGCCACTTCCCCTCAGTGCGACGGATGGCGGCGACAATGTGCCCGAGGATACCGAGATCCGCTTGATGCATGATGTCCGGCATGATGACGAGGTAAGGATTCCCCCACGGTTTGCCAAAAACGTCCCACAGCCACAAGGAACACTGCACGCATAGGGTTAGGGTGACGATTACGCCGTTGGACTCGGATATCAATGAGGCAATGTAGCATGTGAGGCTAATGACGTGAGGTAGTGGTTTTGTGGAAGTGCATAAATGAGGGAGAGTCCGTGGAAGGGCAGAGATGACGGAGAGTGCGTGGAAGGGCAGAGATGACGGAGAGTGCGTGGAAGGGCAGAGATGACGGACAGTGCGTGGAAGGGCAGAGATGACGGAGAGTGCGTGGAAGGGCAGAGATGACGGAGAGTGCGTGGAAGGGCAGAGATGTGGGGCCGTGACATTAGAAGTGCCTTCACACTTACGTCGACGTCGAACGTGGAATACTCCATCCCGATGGTTTTTTTTGGGTCCAAGGATTTGTACCAGTTTTCCTTGATCCATTGCTGTTGCACAACAGTGCGGTTGACGTTTGGAGCTGACACGGCACACAGGTGGTCCTGCATGTGCAATGGGATACCCACACGTACATGCATGTAATACAAGTAAGGGAGAGTGTGTGCGATTATGGTAAGGCGTTTACTGCAGGTAACGACAACTCAACGACAATGTCACATACCCTGTGGGCATAGCATATGCTGCACGGCCGGTTGGTGGTGCCCGAAAGAGTGCACGTAATTTTGCAACTTTCTGGAAAGTCACACACCCATGCGTACAGCATGGGTATGACGAGATGCTCGACGCCATTCGGGTCCTTCATCTTGAAACCACTGCAAAGCGTTGTAAAAAAACGAGGATGGGTTTTGGGGGACGAGGTTTGGTCGAATGAATCATAGAACGGGGTTGTTATACTTCACCACCTACGTTCGTGCGTCCCAGGGAAGCCATTGAAATGGCACATGCGCACAGTGCGGTGGAAGCGACCATGTGAACAGGTCATAAAAATCGGGTTGAAAGCAAATTTAATACAGTGCAGATGTGAGTAATACCTTTTCAAACCCTCGAGGATGGGCTGCAGCATGAGCTCCACAGCTTTGTGGAATAATTCGGTGCTCTGAGCCGAGCTCATGCCGGCCGGTGTTATCGGGAGATTCCCCAAAAGCACGTGGCCAGAAGATGCCCAACGTTTCCCCTGGGAGATGTTGACGAGACTCATCATCACCGGATGTGCCTTTTTCCTGCCATTGTTGCTAAGGTGTGTGACGTCACTGTACAGGATGATCCCAGCAATGACTACGTCGGGTCCAACATGGGCCTGAGGTTTAAGGTGAACAATACCTCACACATGGACATAGCATAAGATAATACGGAGGGAGGCGGGTATGTGAACAACGTTAGAGCATGCGGGAGCATTGGTGTGCACCTCACATCCCTCCTCTCCTCTGTCCGCCCACCTCTGTCCATCTCCGGTCTGTGTGTGGGACGGACAGGCAGAGAGAGGCAAGGATATGGGGAAGAGAGGGAGAATGAAGCAAGCATGTGCATGCTTGAGCTCCTCACTCCCCTCTGCTCCTCTGTCCGCCCACCTCTGTCCATCTCCGGTCTGTGTGTGGGACGGACAGGCAGAGAGAGGCAAGGATATGGGGAAGAGAGGGAGAATGAAGCAAGCAGGTGCATGCTTGAGCTCCTCACTCCCCTCTGCTCCTCTGTCCGCCCACCTCTGTCCATCTCCGGTCTGTGTGTGGGACGGACAGGCAGAGAGAGGCAAGGATATGGGGAAGAGAGGGAGAATGAAGCAAGCATGTGCATGCTTGAGCTCCTCACTCCCCTCTGCTCCTCTGTCCGCCCACCTCTGTCCATCTCCGGTCTGTGTGTGGGACGGACAGGCAGAGAGAGGCAAGGATATGGGGAAGAGAGGGAGAATGAAGCAAGCAGGTGCATGCTTGAGCTCCTCACTCCCCTCTGCTCCTCTGTCCGCCCACCTCTGTCCATCTCCGGTCTGTGTGTGGGACGGACAGGCAGAGAGAGGCAAGGATATGGGGAAGAGAGGGAGAATGAAGCAAGCAGGTGCATGCTTGAGCTCCTCACTCCCCTCTGCTCCTCTGTCCGCCCACCTCTGCCCATCTCCTGTCTGTGTGTGGGACGGACAGGCAGAGAGAGGCAAGGATATGGGGAAGAGAGGGAGAATGAAGCAAGCATGTGCATGCTTGAGCTCCTCACTCCCCTCTGCTCCTCTGTCCGCCCACCTCTGTCCATCTCCGGTCTGTGTGTGGGATGGACAGGCAGAGAGAGGCAAGGATATGGGGAAGAGAGGGAGAATGAAGCAAGCATGTGCATGCTTGAGCTCCTCACTCCCCTCTGCTCCTCTGTCCGCCCACCTCTGCCCATCTCCGGTCTGTGTGTGGGACGGACAGGCAGAGAGAGGCAAGGATATGGAGAAGAGAGGGAGAATGAAGCAAGCATGTGCATGCTTGAGCTCCTCACTCCCCTCTGCTCCTCTGTCCGCCCACCTCTGTCCATCTCCGGTCTGTGTGTGGGACGGACAGGCAGAGAGAGGCAAGGATATGGGGAAGAGAGGGAGAATAAAGCAAGCATGTGCATGCTTGAGCTCCTCACTCCCCTCTGCTCCTCTGTCCGCCCACCTCTGCCCATCTCCGGTCTGTGTGTGGGACGGACAGGCAGAGAGAGGCAAGGATATGGGGAAGAGAGGGAGAATGAAGCAAGCATGTGCATGCTTGAGCTCCTCACTCCCCTCTGCTCCTCTGTCCGCCCACCTATGCCCATCTCACTCCCCTCTGCTCCTCTGTCCGCCCACCTCTGCCCATCTCCTGTCTGTGTGTGGGACGGACAGGCAGAGAGAGGCAAGGATATGGGGAAGAGAGGGAGAATGAAGCAAGCATGTGCATGCTTGAGCTCCTCACTCCCCTCTGCTCCTCTGTCCGCCCACCTCTGTCCATCTCCGGTCTGTGTGTGGGACGGACAGGCAGAGAGAGGCAAGGATATGGGGAAGAGAGGGAGAATGAAGCAAGCATGTGCATGCTTGAGCTCCTCACTCCCCTCTGCTCCTCTGTCCGCCCACCTCTGCCCATCTCCTGTCTGTGTGTGGGACGGACAGGCAGAGAGAGGCAAGGATATGGGGAAGAGAGGGAGAATGAAGCAAGCATGTGCATGCTTGAGCTCCTCACTCCCCTCTGCTCCTCTGTCCGCGCACCTCTGCCCATCTCCTGTCTGTGTGTGGGACGGACAGGCAGAGAGAGGCAAGGATATGGGGAAGAGAGGGAGAATGAAGCAAGCATGTGCATGCTTGAGCTCCTCACTCCCCTCTGCTCCTCTGTCCGCCCACCTCTGCCCATCTCCTGTCTGTGGGTAGGACGGACAGGCAGAGGGGGGCAAGGATACGGGGAAGAGAGTGAGAGTGAAGCAAGCAGGTGCATGCCTGAGCAGGTCATTAAAATGTTGGAATATGTTTTGTTGCAGCGCATATAGCATTTGAAAACGTGGCAGAAAACAAGCATTTGTACTGCTCTTTCTCCATCCCACCTGGGCCTCATGCCACCAGGTCGCTGTCTCCGGTGTGGTGTAGCGTCTCTGACGGGTCCTCGGGTCAGTGTCTACCCGTGGCTTGAGAACGAACCCAGGCGCATTCCGCGGATCGCCAAACAGGTCTGCCAGAGCCTGGAAGAGACACGCAAGAAGCGAATACGACGAGATTATACTGACCCGAGCAGCAAAGGAAAGGGCGTATCAACAAGCTGCATAGGAATTAACTGGCACAGCACGTACCTGTAATGAGTTACGGAAGAACAGCGTCTGCGCCGGGAAGCCCGCAACCTTGAATGTTACAGTCGAGTACCCACGGCCTAGACCACGCAGTTGGTCCAACTCGAAGCGCTCGAGCTCTCGGCAGTTGGTGTACTCCTCGAGCACTCTCTGTGCAAGCTCCGGAACCATTAGAAGTTGCAGCAGTGCGTTGATGTCCGTCTCTGCGAAACCAAGCCGCCCGTTGGCTTTCCGCACAAAGTGCAGAAAATGAAGCGCAGCGGGATTGCTCGGTGGTGGACGCCCGAAGCTTGTGGGTACGGAAGGAGCCTCGGTATTCCTGCCGCTGCTGGTACTCTGAGGCGAATTCGCAGTGTCCGCGTCGTTGAAGGCCACGGGTATTTGAATTCCAGGTGTAGAACATGACGAATTGCTGCCGGCGGAATGCTCACCGTCTTCCTGTGCCTGTACATTGTCGCCATGGACGTGATGGGCCGGAACATGGGCCGTATTGTCGGCATCAGGAACAGGTGTAGTGAAAAGAACGAAGTGCTCTTGCACTGAAGGTCCACCCCGACGCAGTGCTGCATATTTGACACGGCATTCAGGGTCCCATGCCTTGTGCCGCCCAAAACAATGAGCATTCCGAAATCTACCCCCGCAAAAGACGCAGAGTAACTGTTTGTCGATGGTCATGCTATGACCAGCTGTAAAACGAAGAGACGCGGGAGGGGCCGCATTGTACAAGTGCTCTTTAGTAGCGGCAACGCCTGAGACGTCGACCTGCGAAGGGCGTGTAAAGCGACTCCGGATAAGGGTAACGCGGCAGCGACTAGAGGACCGGGTTCCTATGAGACACACCTCGAAGTAAGTTCTACATGTTGCTACTACACATAGGACTGTGACTAAACTTAGACATACGAGTTTTGCGTGGGGAGAACACCTAATCCGCATTCTCTCTAGCCAAAGGCCCTGTGTATGATCATGATTTACTCGCCGCTGTCCGCGCCGCGCTGCAGGGATGAATTGGCCCGGATCGCGACCCCGCCGCGAGCCAAGCTGCTACCTACACTCACAATGCTACATGCAATTAGGCGTTTTAATGTGATGGGGTCTGCAGCGCGCTACTGAGCCGCGTGAGGCTGCTGGGACCGATCATGGAAGGACAGCGGGAGGGATAATTGCGCTTGTCTATCCCCGCAGCGGTCAAGGTGAGAACTCTTACGTAGTCTAGAGGAAACCGAGAGAGGAGAAGCTAACTCGCCAAATGAGCAGGCAAGGCTCAAGCCTCAGTCTAAAGTAAGATACTTGTGCGTGACTACCACAACAGGTAGCGGAAGGCGCACTTCGCTGTGACAAGGTTTGGTATGCGGCGTGGACTGGAATCCAATACCCGGCAAATCTGCATCGGATGTTGTCTTTCCGCACATATCGTGGCATGACAAGCCAATCTAGTCTTCATGGGCTGGGCTGAGAATGCCAGGGGGGTCTCATTTTTGTGTCAAGAGACTGCCCTATCCCTTGCAGAGCTCTCTGACAAGGTTTGGTATGTGGCGTGGACTGGAATCCAATACCCGGCAAATCTGCAGTCTTTCCGCACATATCGTGGCACGACAAGCCAATCTACTCTTCATGGGCTGGGCTGAGAATGCTAGGGGGGTCTCATATTGGTGTCAAGAGACTACCCTATCCCTTGCAGAGCTCTCTGACAAGGTTTGGTATGCGGCGTGGACTGGAATCCAATACCCGGCAAATCTGCATCGGATTCTGTCTTTCCGCACATATCGTGGCATTACAAGCCAATCTAGCATTCAGCACCTTATTCTAAATTATGAACTAAAGATGGTTGTTCTCAACACATAGCAACGAAGGATACAGTTTGAGTTGTCAAGTGTTAGGATCTTCGTTGGTACTGCTTGCTATGTTGAATTTGGTGATTTTCGGCCAAGATCTAAACCATATTGCGAAATTGTGGAAGATTTAATGGGGAACTGGTTGAGCCACTCACATGATGTTTTGAACTACCACTCCTTGGATATGTGAGCGGTATAAGGAATTCATGTTAGCGTACGATTGGATACACAGACCAACCAGAGAGGAGTTTCAAGCATTCTTTACAGCCATAGCAAGCTTGATGTGAGCGCACTATTTATCCTAAACATTAAACTAAAACCACGCATAAAAAAACCGATACAATTTAGTCAGGTATGTGGCTGCCAATATGACATATGTGCGAGAATAGTTATTTGTGTAAGGATTCATAATTAAGCATACTGAATGTTCTGGGTGATACATTATGAATGGTTTTGAACTTGGGCCTTCCGTATGTTGGCAGTGTCACTTGTGAAACTGCCTTGCAAGTGGGGGCCTGGTACACTACAGTTTCAAGCTACAGTGTAACTCACACGAACCGCCTATCACAATGCTGACTCATAACTACTGTTTCGTTTCTTGTGAGAGTGTGGATGTGGAGCGTTGTAGAACAGCCATCACGGATTTTTTTCAAGTTGGCCTGCTATCGCTCCGGTTGCAACAGTGATATTGTTGCATGCACAGCTCTTAACTTTGTTACAGCAAGTTAAATTGTTGGGTGTGTCTGATTTGTAACCCATAAAAGTACGGAATGTCTCAAAACAGAGCATTTTGTTGCGTGAAAGTTATCTGCTTGTGAGTTTCGAGCCTGAAATGAAAACCCTATCGATTTTGAGCTGCCCGTATTTGTCCTGGTCTCCATCAATAGTCATTAGCTGGCGCTCGACTTGGCGATGGTGCACGTACCGTGCAGTACAACGTTATGCACCTCGCCTCACTTCACCACCCCACAACCCATCGCACCTAGAATCGCCTCTCCTAAACACACCGCTACCCAACGATGTGTGTCAGACACCGCCAGCTCAGTCTTTTGTGGCCACCAGCTTGCAGTACTGTACAGTTTTCAAGCCCATTCCAACACCGCCTCCCTTCCACCCAACCCCCCCGCTCGTTCCCGCACCTCGCCTGCTCATCCCCGCTCCCTCACCTCCTCGTTCCCGCACCTCGCCTGCTCATCCCCGCTCACTCACCTCCTCGTCCCCGCACCTCGCCTGCTCATCTCCGCTCTCACCTGCTCATCTCCGCTCTCACCTGTTCATCTCCGCTCTCACCTGCTCATCTCCGCTCTCACCTGTTCATCTCCGCTCTCACCTGCTCATCCCTGATCGCATCCCCGCTCTCACAGTAATTTCACCGTAATATGCTGGGTGCGCGAGCACCTAACCTGCACATTTCCTACCCCGCCTGCTTCGTATGCGTGCCAATTTTTGGCAGGCCAAATACCGGTGTCTGGAATTGTGCGCAGTAGACTGTGAGGTCCAGTTAGACGGCTTACGACATATAATGCCTAATCCAGATCGTTAAAAGACATACACGGTATTATCACGATAAGAGAGACGCACACAGGTATAATGAACGGGTTTGTGGCGAAGCATGGGGTGGGAGGTGAGGAAGGGGAAGAAGCAGCCTACCCAGGAGAACCGACCGGGGAAGGGAGAGGCTACGAGCAAGGGGCAGGTGCAGGATACGCGACAGGGGAAGGGGGAGGATACGGGACAGTGGCAGGGGGAGGATACTAGCAAGGGGAAGGAGGAGGATACGCGCAAGGGGAAGGGGGAGGATACGCGCAAGGGGAAGGGGGGGGATACGCGCAAGGGGACGGGGGAGGATACGCGCAAGGGGAAGGGGGAGGATACGCGCAAGGGGAAGGGGGAGGATACGCGCAAGGGGAAGGGGGAGGATACGCGCAAGGGGAAGGGGGAGGATACGCGACAGGGGAGGGGGGAGAATACGAGACAAGGGAAGGGGGTGGGTACGAGGGCGAAGAAGGGGGAGAGGACGAGAGAGAGGAAGGGGGAGAAGACGAGGGAGAGGAAGGGGGAGAAGACGAGCGAGAGGAAGGGGGAGAAGACGAGGGAGAGGAAGGGGGAGAAGACGACGGAGAGGAAGGGGGAGAAGACGAGGGAGAGGAAGGGGGAGAAGACGGGACAGGGGAACAAGGTGCATACGCCGCAGGGGAAGGGGGAGTTTACGCGACATATGAAGGCGGAGGATACGAGACAGGGGAAGGGGGAGGATACGCGACAGGGGAAGGGGGCGGATACGCGACAGGGGAAGGGGGCGGATACGCGACAGGGGAGGGGGGGGGATACGCGACAGTGCAAGGGGGAGGAGACGAGGGAGAGGAAGGGGGAGAGAACGGGACAGGGGAAGGGGGAGGATACGTCGCAAGGGGGGGGGAGGATGGGGGGGAGTTTGCGGCGCAGGGGCAGGGAGGATACGTGGCTGAAGGGGAGGGGAGAGCTATGGCCGAAGGCGGGGAAGACGGTTACGCAGGTAATCTAGCTGAAGGCGACGGCGCGCTGAACGCAGCGGTGCGACAGGGAGCACATGATGCCGGAGAGGACGACGATGAGGATGACATCGAACGTATTATGTACCCTGGCACGCAGGTTGCGGAAGCAAGCCGTGGCTCCACGATGGATGAAGACGTGGAGGAACAGAGAGCGCTAAACAGAGGCAAGGGCAGAAACTTGACTCTATTAAACATGGATGTAGCCGAACAGAATAACGGGCCGTGCAACGTCAAGCGTGCTGCAAGGAAGCGTGGACGCGAGGGAGCAATTAACGAGCAAAGTGCGCCTGGAGGCGGGCGTGGCAAAGGCCGGGGTGGAGGGCGAGCAGGGCGGGGCGGAGGAAGAGGGGGGGGAGGCGGAGGACATGATGAGGCAGGGGGGGGAGAAGGCCGAGGAGGGCGAGGCGGTGCGCGGGGCCGAGGGAGAGGAGGGCGAGGCGGAGGACATGATGAAGCAGAGGGGGGAGAAGGGCGAGGAGGGCGAGGCGGAGCGCGGGGCCGAGGGCGGGGCGAGGGGCGTGGAGGGCGCGGCGGAAATCGTGGAGCGGGTCAACTTGCCCGCGGGGCTGGCGGCAGAGGAAGGGGCGAAGGAATGGGACGAGGAAGAGGAAGGGGTGCCACAGGTAGGAGTGACCTCAGTTGCGTGAATATGTGAGGTGACAAGTTAACCCTGCCCATGTGAGAAGGATGTAAAGGCGGAGGTGTGCATGGGCCGCCATGCTCCTATTGGGTGACTTTCAACCCCGATGCTCTCACCCAGCCCTCTCAATGTCCTCTAACCGCCCTTGTCTCCATACTATTGACAGGCGATGCACATAGGAGGCGGGAGGGAGAGGTTGGGGTGACTTTGATATGCCATCGTAATGTCAAGATCACACTTAAGCACCTTTGTTACATATGTGTCGTCGCTGGGTGGGGTGTTGGTTATGACCCTGGCAGGTCCTATCACGAACACTGGGATCGGGCCGCCCATTGAGATTTGTCGCTTCGAACTTGCACCACAAGTACACTCGCGACCTACCTTTCAGATTCTGCAGCCACAACCTGCGCCAGCTGTAGCAAGTGCTCGACAGACCGTGGGGAGATCTGGGGGACAGGAGCAAGTGCCTACAGCCGTACCGTGCAACTCGGGATGGCAAAACTTTGGAGGGACGGGGACTGCACCAGCTGCGCTGGTGGCAAATACTTCAAACTCTGGCCGATTGGGGGGTGCATCTGGTGCTTACGGCCAGAACCGTCAGAACCCGGGTGCGGCCAGCGCATCACGTCCTGCAAGCTCGAGCCCAGCCAATAACAACGGTTCCCCGGCTGCTTCCCAGCGAGCACCTGTCCTGAATGCCAGTGGTGCTAGGTCCGGCGCAGCAGCTTCACACAGATCTGCATCTGTGGGAAGGCAGCCTCACACTAGCGGGATGGCTGGTGGAGGGGCCCACGTGCCTTTAGGTGAGGCACACGAGGCAAACCTCGGTTCCCCAGTCTCAGTAGGTCATGCACTGGGGAGCTCCTTAAGAAACCCCATTGACTGTGGAAATATCATGGGGCCAGGTGTCTCCTCTGGTCGCAGCTATGGCTCCCGTGGGGGCATGCCTCTACCCCCCTCCGCCCCAGGTCATGCGGCAGCTTATTCAGGGCATTCCAACCATGGGTCATGCGCCATCCCCAATGCATTAGGGGGGCGTGTGAGCGGCGGCGCACGCGCAGCAGCATCAGCACCAGCGTCTCCCGCGAGTGTGGGACGTGTTCCAGTGGCCAATGGTCCGTCCGGCTCGCATCCGCTGACTCAATCGAACCCTGCCGGTATTCAGAGGCCAATGGCTGCACCAAGGCCAGGACTCGGACTCCCCCTTAACCCTCCCCCTCGTGCAGTCAAATCGGTTGCAGAGCAGGCTGCGATGAACAAGTATGCAACGAAAGGGGAGTTGGATGCACTGCGAACGGAGTTCCTACAGGCTTTACAAGCCCACACCTGCAGCCAGTGTGGAGCATCTGGAAGCTTGGGTGCTGCAGCAGATGGTGGCGAGAACAATGGCGATGCAGCTGGGGTTCAGTCTATACCCAAGCCACGCACGAGATCTGTGGCGGCCATTGCGCTGGATGCGGTGTTGGCAGAGCAGAAGGATTGGCGAGTAAGTGCAGACGCTTCCATCCTGTTATATTGCATGAGAGTCGGTGCGTAATTCATTATTCCGACGTGCACTAACCTGCCTTCCTCCGTTTTTGGTCCGATCAACACAATACTTTCGCGTAATGGCAGGGGGCGTGCAATCAAGTGGTGACTTGCCTCTTCTGGACCGACGATGCAGTGGATATTCAGTTTTACCCCAACACCGACGAGGCGCTTAGTGAATTCGGGAAATTACTGTCCCCGGATGCTATGACACATCTGAAGCTTCTTTGGAACCTAACAGACGACTTCATCGTGGGGACTTTTAACAAGATGTGCAATAACAACCGAAGCAACGTCGCAAAGAAGCTACCAGGTGTTGTTTGGACAGCCCTGGGGAGCATAAAGAAGCAACACAAGGTGGCAGCACTTCCCAAGGGAGTAAAGGGCCCCGAGGCTTTTTATGAACATAAGGAACTCGTCAAACATTACATGGACGGTACGTTGCATGGTGTGCTAACCCGTCCAATACAGTGTTTGATTCATACCACGCAGCTGCTCTCATCCATTCCATCTCTCTCTATGTGTCCTTATCTCCCTGCCATTGGCAGGAAACGCACAGAGGAGGAGGGAGGGAGAGGCTGATGTGTGCGTGGGACCGTTGCTACTCTCATCCCTTCCTCTCTCTCTCTATGTGTCCTTATCTCCCTGCTATTGGCAGGAAACACACAGAGTACGAGGGAGGGGGAGGACGAGGTGTGAGTGGGACCGTTGATACTCTCATCCCTTCCTCTCTCTTCGTGTCAAGATATCCCTGCCATTGGCAAGGAGCTGCACAGACAGAGGAGGGAGGGAGAGGCCGTGGTGTGCGTGTGAATGTTGCTACTCTCATCCCTTCCTCTCTCTCCGTCCTTATCTCCCTGCCATTGGCAGGAAACGCACGGAGGAGGATGTAGGCCGAGGCTGAGGTGTGCGCATAGCCCGTTGCTACTCTCATCCCTTCCTCTCTATGTGTCCTTATCTCCCTGCCATTGGCAGGAAACACACAGAGTACGAGGGAGGGAGTGGACGGGGTGTGAGTGGGACCGTTGGTACTCTCATCCCTTCCTACCTCTCTCTCTCTCTGTCCTTATCTCCCTGCCATTGGCATGAAACACACCGTGTAGGAGGGAGGGAGAGGCTGAGGTGTGCGTGGGACCGTTGCTACTCTCATCCCTTCCTCTCCCTCTCTCTCTGTCCTTATCTCCCTGCCATTGGCAGGAAACACAGAGAGTACCAGGGAGGGAGAGGACGAGGTGTGAGTGGGCCCGTTGCTACTCTCATCCCTTCCTCTCTCTCTGTCAGTATCTCCAGGGCATTGGCAGGAAACACACAGAGGAAGAGGGAGGGAGAGGCTGAGGTGTGCGTGGGGCCGTAGCTTCTTTCAACTCTGCCCTGTCTCTCTCTGTCCTTATCTCCAGGCCATTGGCAGGAAACACACAGAGTACGAGGGAGGAGATGACGAGGTGTGAATGGGACCGTTGATACTCTAAACCCTTCCTCTCTCTCTCTCTCTCTCTGTCCTTATCTCCCTGCCATTGGCAGGAAACGCCCTGACAGAGGAGTGTGGGAGGGGCTGAGGTGTGCGCAAAGCCCGTTGCTACTCTCATCCCTTCCTTACTCTCTGTCCTTATCTCCCTGCCATTGGCAGGAAACGCCCTGACAGAGGAGTGTGGGAGGGGCTGAGGTGTGCGCAAAGCCCGTTGCTACACTCATCCCTTCCTTACTCTCTGTCCTTATCTCCCTGCCATTGGCAGGAAACGCCCTGACAGAGGAGTGTGGGAGGGGCTGAGGTGTGCGCAAAGCCCGTTGCTACACTCATCCCTTCCTTACTCTCTGTCCTTATCTCCCTGCCATTGGCAGGAAACGCCCTGACAGAGGAGGGTGGGAGGGGCTGAGGTGTGCGCAAAGCCCGTTGCTACACTCATCCCTTCCTTACTCTCTGTCCTTATCTCCCTGCCATTGGCAGGAAACGCCCTGACAGAGGAGTGTGGGAGGGGCTGAGGTGTGCGCAAAGCCCGTTGCTACTCTCATCCCTTCCTTACTCTCTGTCCTTATCTCCCTGCCATTGGCAGGAAACGCCCTGTCAGAGGAGGGTGGGAGGGGCTGAGGTGTGCGCAAAGCCCGTTGCTACTCTCATCCCTTCCTTACTCTCTGTCCTTATCTCCCTGCCATTGGCAGGAAACGCCCTGACAGAGGAGTGTGGGAGGGGCTGAGGTGTGCGCAAAGCCCGTTGCTACACTCATCCCTTCCTTACTCTCTGTCCTTATCTCCCTGCCATTGGCAGGAAACGCCCTGACAGAGGAGTGTGGGAGGGGCTGAGGTGTGCGCAAAGCCCGTTGCTACACTCATCCCTTCCTTACTCTCTGTCCTTATCTCCCTGCCATTGGCAGGAAACGCCCTGACAGAGGAGTGTGGGAGGGGCTGAGGTGTGCGCAAAGCCCGTTGCTACACTCATCCCTTCCTTACTCTCTGTCCTTATCTCCCTGCCATTGGCAGGAAACGCCCTGACAGAGGAGTGTGGGAGGGGCTGAGGTGTGCGCAAAGCCCGTTGCTACTCTCATCCCTTCCTTACTCTCTGTTCTTATCTCCCTGCCATTGGCAGGAAACGCCCTGACAGAGGAGGGTGGGAGGGGCTGAGGTGTGCGCAAAGCCCGTTGCTACTCTCATCCCTTCCTTACTCTCTGTCCTTATCTCCCTGCCATTGGCAGGAAACGCCCTGACAGAGGAGGGTGGGAGGGGCTGAGGTGTGCGCAAAGCCCGTTGCTACACTCATCCCTTCCTTACTCTCTGTCCTTATCTCCCTGCCATTGGCAGGAAACGCCCTGACAGAGGAGTGTGGGAGGGGCTGAGGTGTGCGCAAAGCCCGTTGCTACTCTCATCCCTTCCTTACTCTCTGTCCTTATCTCCCTGCCATTGGCAGGAAACGCCCTGACAGAGGAGGGTGGGAGGGGCTGAGGTGTGCGCAAAGCCCGTTGCTACACTCATCCCTTCCTTACTCTCTGTCCTTATCTCCCTGCCATTGGCAGGAAACGCCCTGACAGAGGAGTGTGGGAGGGGCTGAGGTGTGCGCAAAGCCCGTTGCTACACTCATCCCTTCCTTACTCTCTGTCCTTATCTCCCTGCCATTGGCAGGAAACGCCCTGACAGAGGAGTGTGGGAGGGGCTGAGGTGTGCGCAAAGCCCGTTGCTACTCTCATCCCTTCCTTACTCTCTGTCCTTATCTCCCTGCCATTGGCAGGAAACGCCCTGACAGAGGAGTGTGGGAGGGGCTGAGGTGTGCGCAAAGCCCGTTGCTACACTCATCCCTTCCTTACTCTCTGTCCTTATCTCCCTGCCATTGGCAGGAAACGCCCTGACAGAGGAGTGTGGGAGGGGCTGAGGTGTGCGCAAAGCCCGTTGCTACACTCATCCCTTCCTTACTCTCTGTCCTTATCTCCCTGCCATTGGCAGGAAACGCCCTGACAGAGGAGTGTGGGAGGGGCTGAGGTGTGCGCAAAGCCCGTTGCTACTCTCATCCCTTCCGTACTCTCTGTTCTTATCTCCCTGCCATTGGCAGGAACGCCCTGACAGAGGAGGGTGGGAGGGGCTGAGGTGTGCGCAAAGCCCGTTGCTACTCTCATCCCTTCCTTACTCTCTGTCCTTATCTCCCTGCCATTGGCAGGAAACGCCCTGACAGAGGAGGGTGGGAGGGGCTGAGGTGTGCGCAAAGCCCGTTGCTACTCTCATCCCTTCCGTACTCTCTGTTCTTATCTACCTGCCATTGGCAGGAAACGCCCTGACAGAGGAGGGTGGGAGGGGCTGAGGTGTGCGTGGGGCCGTAGCTTCTTTCAACTCTGCCCTGTCTCTCTGTGTCCTTATCTCCAGGCCATTGGCTGGGAACGCACAGAGGAGGAAGGAGGGTGAGAGAGGCTGAGGTGTGCGCATAGCCCGTTGCTACTCTCATCCCTTCCTCTCTATGTGTCCTTATCTCCCTGCCATTGGCAGGAAACACACAGAGTACGAGGGAGGGAGTGGACGGGGTGTGAGTGGGACCGTTGGTACTCTCATCCCTTCCTACCTCTCTCTCTCTCTGTCCTTATCTCCCTGCCATTGGCATGAAACACACCGTGTAGGAGGGAGGGAGAGGCTGAGGTGTGCGTGGGACCGTTGCTACTCTCATCCCTTCCTCTCCCTCTCTCTCTGTCCTTATCTCCCTGCCATTGGCAGGAAACACAGAGAGTACCAGGGAGGGAGAGGACGAGGTGTGAGTGGGCCCGTTGCTACTCTCATCCCTTCCTCTCTCTCTGTCAGTATCTCCAGGGCATTGGCAGGAAACACACAGAGGAAGAGGGAGGGAGAGGCTGAGGTGTGCGTGGGGCCGTAGCTTCTTTCAACTCTGCCCTGTCTCTCTCTGTCCTTATCTCCAGGCCATTGGCAGGAAACACACAGAGTACGAGGGAGGAGATGACGAGGTGTGAATGGGACCGTTGATACTCTAAACCCTTCCTCTCTCTCTCTCTCTCTCTCTGTCCTTATCTCCCTGCCATTGGCAGGAAACGCCCTGACAGAGGAGTGTGGGAGGGGCTGAGGTGTGCGCAAAGCCCGTTGCTACTCTCATCCCTTCCTTACTCTCTGTCCTTATCTCCCTGCCATTGGCAGGAAACGCCCTGACAGAGGAGTGTGGGAGGGGCTGAGGTGTGCGCAAAGCCCGTTGCTACACTCATCCCTTCCTTACTCTCTGTCCTTATCTCCCTGCCATTGGCAGGAAACGCCCTGACAGAGGAGTGTGGGAGGGGCTGAGGTGTGCGCAAAGCCCGTTGCTACACTCATCCCTTCCTTACTCTCTGTCCTTATCTCCCTGCCATTGGCAGGAAACGCCCTGACAGAGGAGTGTGGGAGGGGCTGAGGTGTGCGCAAAGCCCGTTGCTACTCTCATCCCTTCCTTACTCTCTGTCCTTATCTCCCTGCCATTGGCAGGAAACGCCCTGACAGAGGAGTGTGGGAGGGGCTGAGGTGTGCGCAAAGCCCGTTGCTACTCTCATCCCTTCCTTACTCTCTGTCCTTATCTCCCTGCCATTGGCAGGAAACGCCCTGACAGAGGAGGGTGGGAGGGGCTGAGGTGTGCGCAAAGCCCGTTGCTACTCTCATGCCTTCCTTACTCTCTGTTCTTATCTCCCTGCCATTGGCAGGAAACGCCCTGACAGAGGAGTGTGGGAGGGGCTGAGGTGTGCGCAAAGCCCGTTGCTACTCTCATCCCTTCCGTACTCTCTGTTCTTATCTCCCTGCCATTGGCAGGAACGCCCTGACAGAGGAGGGTGGGAGGGGCTGAGGTGTGCGCAAAGCCCGTTGCTACACTCATCCCTTCCTTACTCTCTGTCCTTATCTCCCTGCCATTGGCAGGAAACGCCCTGACAGAGGAGGGTGGGAGGGGCTGAGGTGTGCGCAAAGCCCGTTGCTACTCTCATCCCTTCCGTACTCTCTGTTCTTATCTACCTGCCATTGGCAGGAAACGCCCTGACAGAGGAGGGTGGGAGGGGCTGAGGTGTGCGTGGGGCCGTAGCTTCTTTCAACTCTGCCCTGTCTCTCTGTGTCCTTATCTCCAGGCCATTGGCTGGGAACGCACAGAGGAGGAAGGAGGGTGAGAGAGGCTGAGGTGTGCGTGGGCCCGATGCTGCTCGTATTGGGTCTGATTCAACCCCACTGCCCTCATTTTCTCCACTCTCTGTCCTAATCGTCCGTCCACAGTCAGGGAATGCGCAGAGGATTAGGGAGGGAGAGGCAATAGTTTTCATGGGCCTCCATGCTGCTTCTGCTGGGGTTGAATTCAACCCGCTGGTCTCACGGGGCCTTCTCTGTTCTTATCTCCCTGCCATTGGCAGGAAATGCACAGAGCAAACGGGAGGGGGAAGCAATGGTGTGCATAGTCCTCTATGTTGCTCCTCTGTGCATTGCCCCTTCTCTCCCTGCCGTTCCTCTGTTCGTGGCTTTATCCTCCTCTTGATGGTGTTAACTTCACCCTCCTGCTGTCACCCTAAACCCTCTCTGTGCTCCTTTATCCACTGTACAGAAGAGATGGGAGGTTTACGTTTCCATGTGGATGAGGATACAAATTTGCCATTTTCCAGCGAAGCCTTTGCAGCGGGGATAAGACATGCATTCACGCGGCTCAATGTGACATTGGGAACGTTCAAGACCCGTCAGCTTGCTTATGCTGTTCTTGTGGTAAGAGCATGTACGCAGAAAGTGTTCAAGCTTTTTCATCGGCATCTAGAGGACCTCAATTGAATGATTTGTTGTTCCCTTGCAGCTGGAATGTCCTCTACTGGAGGAAGAGGGCAAGATGACAAACAATCCTGAGGTCAACCGGGAAAAGTACGAGAGTACTGTGGTGAAGTGCAGGAAATGGGTGGAGCTCGCTGTCACCAACCAGGGCGTGCGCTTCGATTCACGCAAGAACGCTTTCCTGTTTGGCCATGGTGTTTGTATTGACGCGAGCGACTACCCGGCATCGCTGAAGAAAAACGTCGCTACCTAAATGTTTGCTTAAATGTTGGTAGTTTGGTGGGAATATTGTGGGATATATATTAATTAGTGTAGATTCTCAGTGTGATTTAGTAGTAAATTATAAAAAGGCTTTTATCGGATTATTTGCTAATTACGAATATATCAGATATCATTGATATTAATGAAATAATAATTGTAAGAGTTTAGATGTTCCACTTCAGACTACCATGTAGCCAATAGTAAACGGGATATCTGAAATAATCGTCTTTTTGGTCTCGCAGATTCGGGAGACCTGCGACGGAAAACTGACGGTAAAACGCAAAGGAAGATCGTCAGAAATCTGTTGGTGAGTATCTGTCAGAAATCTGACATGAAATTAGCAGGCAACACCATCGATCCAGTGGTCTGATTTCTGACGGAAGAAATCCACGGTTTCCCGTCAGATTTCCGAAAGGCAAACAGATTTCCAACCGAACGCGTCCAGGTTTCCGACCCTGTTTTTTGTGATGATATCACAGCCATGAAATACCCCATTCGGATTGCCCGGATTTGACAACATCATATTGTCGGTCGCACCGTCAACCAGGCTTCAAGGTAGTTGTATCAAACAAAACCCTAGCTTCGACAGAATCGACCTGGTTTGAACCGCAAGTCTTAAAATCGACGAAACTGTAGGGGAAAAAACAATGTCAGCCGTCTGCGATTTTCAGTGGAGCCTCCAGACCTAAAGTTTGGCGATTATTATTTAAGCAGGGATGTCATTTTCGGGCGGGACAATCGATAGACCTAAAGTTTTGGCGTTTCCGCCACGGAATGAGTTTTTTTTTTTTTTTTTCGCAACTCGAGGATGAGTCTTTAAAGTCAAACGCTGAGCGTCATGGGGGATGGGGTTACAGAGACCTTCTGTGTGACCTTGGATAGGACCTAGAACCGAGTAGGTGGCTGTGCATCTGCAGCTGCGTGAATCACAACACGAAAAGAGACATCGGCATGCATCGTACATACTGTATACAGTCTGTAGTATCCCGACTGAGCCAGAGCCCCCCGAAGAGGGACGCGGCGGAACGGACGGTGACGCTATTTAGATAGCTTGGCGAAAGGCGATTTGTGGTTGCAAAGCTAGGAAGTTAGTTGGCGCGGGGTGGCGAGAGAAAATGCCGAGTCGGAGGGTTCTTGTTCGTTGGAGTCAACCAAAGCCCAGCGACGTCATTTGACGGGTTGGAATGGAGCTTGGAAGGAACAGGGTTGATGATGTTTGTGAAATGACAAGGCTGCGAGGGTTGATGATGTGACAAAGCTGCGATTTGAAGCCACGCCCAGCCACGTCATTGACAAACGTCGCAGGGCTGGAAGGTACGGGGGTTGAACCGGCCAACTTCATACATACTCAGATTAGTCCCGAGCGGGTTCTCAGGTGTAATCAACCTGGACTTTCTCGACGTTGATTGGTCGTCGCTTTTTAGTCACACTGTTTACGCTGGTCGAAATGTTTGGGAGGTGACAAAAAAAGAACTATCTAGTTTATCCTCCCGACTTGGATTTGTTAAACTAAAGTACGTAAATTTACGACAGGGCAGAAAAATTAAACCCCTATAGAATCTGGACGCATTTGCGGGAGGGATCAACCCTAAACGCGGTAAAGGGCATTGTTTTTAGGGTTGATGCCTCCCGAGTCGCATCCCTTCTCGATTGGGTTATATTGTTTGGGTCAAGAGGGTGCAATATATTTTTCCTGAAGTGGGCGGCTTCCCGTAGTTGAGGTTGATCTGTCTCGAAATTCATCTAGTTTCGCTACAAGTATTTTTTCAGGTGTTGCATTTTCTGTCGTGACTGTATTCAGAAAATAACAAGAAACACCTACTACTATATCACGAAACTGTGTTTCTGTTGGTGATTACACCTGAGAGTCCGCTCGGGAATACTTTGAGTACCTATGATATTGGCCGGGGGTTGAACCCACACCCAGCGACGTCATTCGACAAGAGTCGCCAGGTTAGAACGTGTACTTCAGCGACGACATTCACAAATGTCGCAGGTTGGAACGTACGGGGGTTGAACCCACACCCAGCGACGTGATTTGAAAAATGTCGCAGGTTGTCACATTTGCAAAGCGTGGGTTGAAATCCCACCCCGACAAAGTTCCAGTACGAAAGGGCGTGGGTTCAGATCTCACTCTCGTCATTGGTTCAAGTCATCTCCAATGGAGGATTTTCTCTCACCATCCTCCCGCCAAAAAACTCCCTGCTTTCGCGCTTGGCAACCTCAGGACGCGGCACCTGTTTGGCATTTGCCAGAATCGATCGCGGGAGGAGATCGATGTGCCGCTTGTACAGTGAATTGGCGACGTCGTCAATGTCTGGTATCCGTATATCGCATGACGTCGATAATGTACAGCAAACTGGTACCCAAAATGGTGGCACCTGCAGCTCGCACGATCGATGTGCTGTGGTGCACACATCAACCTTGCGTTTGGGTTGGCGGGAGAGCACATCGCGCCACAGGTGACAGCCGCGATCGATCGGCTTCGTCCACGGTCGCAGGCCAAAATTTCTCGAGTCGTTGCGAATGAAATTGCTGGGCGACTAGCTACCCTCTGCCCTGATTGGCTGCGCGTTGCAGTGTGTTGGTGTATTCCGACGCTGCTCCAACCTGCCCGACCCTGCAATTTCGATCCTGGCACCTATAGCTCGATGTGTCTACCCCACTGCAAATTTGCAGTGTGGGCACATCGGTGTGCCGATCGATGTGCCACGATCGATGTGAGGCCCCGAACCACCCGATCCTGGCGAAATGAAAACATGTGCCGCGTCCTCAGCCTCCAAAACTCAACCATTCCACCGCCACCCTATTCGCAGCGGTGCTGTCTCTGGCTGGCCTCTGCAGTGAATACAATGCGGCTGGGGCTCACACCCAGACCTAGCTCACGACTAGATCAATCCGTGGTCACCCAAGGTCTGTAATCCATGAGCGTCAAGTTGACTTGAGAGACTCAACCGTCCGCGAGTTATATTATTCTCTCCATGATCATCTATTACTCCGCGGTAGAAATGCTAGGAGTAAGAACGTGGACGTTTCGCAACAACCCTAAACCTGTGAAGAAGTGAACGCGAATAAATGAACTATGAATGAAGTGGGTACAAGTACTAACCCTAATTGGGTTGTACCCCCTATGGGATACCCCACTATAGCCTACACAAAAGCATAAGCTATAATGTTCTGACACACCCCCATAGGCAAAGTGGGGGAGAACAAGAGGTCACAAGACCAGTCAAGCAAAGCAAAGTAAAGCAAGCTCAGGGTGGATCACAACGTCACCACACAGTCTGAGCTCAAGGTCAAGGCCACAAGGCCAGTTCACATGCAAGAGGAGACATATATATATAAGTCTAAACAAGCAAGAGTAGGTATATATATATATGCAAGAGTACAAGTAAGGTCAAGAGGTGAGCAAGTGAGGCAAGACTGGGACAAGTCCCAGCTGAGTGCAGAAGCGCTGATGATCACAAGGCGGAAGTGCCTTGGTGAAAACATCAGCAGTGTTGGCCTCAGAGGCCACGTACGCAAGTCGCAACTGACCACGCTGCTGCAGCTCACGAGCAAGAAAGTAGCGGAGAGCAATGTGCTTCGTTCTGTGCTCCAGGCGCTGCTCTCGACACAAGGCCAGCATGGCCTTGTTGTCTACGTACAGCACTGGAGGAGAACGAGGCGGCTCTCCAAGGTCAGTCAGCAGGTAGGTGAGCCAGCGAAGCTCCTGAGCAGCCATGGCCCCGGCGTAGATCTCAGCCTCACAACTGGAGCCGAGAACAGAAGACGAGCGAGTAGCCCGCCACGAAACAGAGCCAGAACCAAGACTGAAGGTGTAACCCTGCGACGACCGCTGAGTAGCCTGGTCGTCAGCCCAAGAAGCGTCCGCGTGCCCACTGAGGACCACTATACTCCGCCCTCCAAGCACTAGCCCCATGCCCGACGTACTGCACAAGTAGCGCAACACCCTCTTCGCTGCAGCCATGTGCTCTGGTCGGTGTCTCCCAGGAGCAACATAGCGTGCCAAGATGCTAAGAGGGTATGCAAGGTCAGGTCGAGTGCAGGTCATCAGGTACATGAGGCAGCCAACAAGCTCTGGGTACGGGCCACTCGACTCTACGGACTCATCCGAAGGCAGAGCTGAGAGCGAGTGGCGAGTTGACAGAGGAGTGGCCTGAGGCGAGGAGTACGTGAAGCCGAAGCGCTGAAGGACCTGCTGCACCATGTGTGACTGAGTCAAGGTAATGGTGCGGCGTGCTCTGTCCCGAGTGATCTGCAAGCCAAGGTAGCTGCGCAGTTTACCAAGGTCTGTGCACCTGTGTCTCTTCTGCAGCTCGGACTTCACGTAGGCGAGTCCAGCAGTGTCCGCTGTGGCAAAGACCAAGTCATCGACGTACACGAGGATGTAGAATGGCGGCAGAGAAGTGTTGTTGCGCAGAAACAACGACGGGTCAGTAGTAGAGGGAGCAAACCCAAGAGCCGCAAGCGTAGTCCTCAGTGTGTCGTGCCACTCACGCGGTGCCTGGCGGAGACCGTAGACTGGCCGTCGGAGGCTCCACTGGGTGCCAGGAGTGAAAGTTCCAGTGAAGCCAGGTGGACGGCGCAGCCAGATCTCCTCGTGTAGGCTACCCTGCAAGAAAGCAGTGCTGAAGTCAAGAGAGTGGAGCTCGTAGTCGCGCTGAGCGGCTATGTGCACCAGCACCCGAAGAGTGGTCATCTTCGAGGTGGGAGAGAAGGTCTGAAAGTAGTCAACTCCCTGCCACTGACTGAAGCCACGAGCCACGTACCGCGCCTTGAAGACAGGTGGAGAGCCCGGCGGCCGCTTCACTCTGAAGATCCACATGCCACTGACGATGTTCGCCCCAGGAGGGGGAACCGTGTCAACGTAGGTGCCTGTGGACTTCCAGGAAGCCATCTCTGCATCCATAGCTGCCTGCCACTGAGAGGAGTAGGGACCCTCTACGGCCTCCGCGTAAGAGCGCGGAGTCGGGATGTCTAGTGCATCCG